TGTCAATCTCTGTCTCCCTTTCTCAGACCTCTCCAAATGGCCTTTGGTCATCCCATGTGCCCTCTGGGATCTGTGAGTAATAGGCATTGCTTTTTTAGAGTTCTCTGATGGAGGTGCCGAGGTGTGTCTTCTGATCACAATAAGAACCCGAGGGCCAGTGAGTCACAGCATAAGGTCTGGGAATGTCCACAAGCACATGGGCATGGGTGCCGGGGCTTTCCTAGCCAGAGCATTGTGGTGTCAATAGCCAGAAGCTTAAAGGGAACACTGTTAGAGTCCACATCATCAGTAGGAACGCTTAGGTTGTGATGTAAAAAGATTGACAGACACAAGGTGAAAACTTTGGTTTGTATATTCATCTACAATAAAATTATGGAGAGGGCTTAGGGGCCAAGTGTAGCTTTTTTCCATATGAAGACTATAACTCGTGATTATGTTCTTGGAAAATCTAGGGGAGATTTACTTCTCGTGGGATAAGTCATTTGAAAAGAAATTATTTTTAAGAAATCCAACTTGTCACATTAGATACAGAAATTTCCAGGCATTTATGTTCTAAGGCTGGGGAAGACATTGGGGACATATGAAAATGGACAAAGGGGAAACTATGTCAGACAGAGCAGAAGCTTGATAAAGTGAGTTCCTTAAATGTATAGAGAAGTTGAAAGCAAACAAGAGGAAATTCCAGGAGAAAAACAGAAGGAGCAGATTCTCCTGCCAAAGTCTATTCAAGGAAGAGCAGTTCTTGGTTCTGAGGCTCTGCCCTGCAATCATGGACACGTCTCCAACCCCAAGACAGTTCAGTTGGCCATTACATCACTTGAACCCCAACAATTCTTTTCAGAGCACTCTTTATGTCTCTGTTCCTCAGGCTGTAGATGAAGGGGTTCAGCATGGGCGTGACCACCGTGTACATCACCGAGGCTGTGGCACTTGAGTGGGAGCTCTGGGTAGCAGCAGAGCTGAGGTACACACCAAGCATCGTACAGTAAAATAAACACACGACCGACAGGTGAGACGCACAGGTGGAAAACGTTTTGAACTTGCCCTTAGCTGATGCAATCCCACGTATAGAGGACACTATCTTGGAATAAGAGTAAAGGATCCCAGCAAAAGGACCACCACCCAGCAGGACAGCTGCAAGATACATCACCACGTTATTAAGAAAGGTGTCAGAACAGGCAAGCTGGAGCATCTCATTGAGTTCACAGAAAAAGTGGGGAATTTCTACCTGTGTACAGAACGAGAGCCGCAACATCATTAAACTCTGTAACAGGGAATTCAGGACACACATGATCCAGGACACCAGAACCAACAGCCCACAAAGCTGGGGGTTCATGATGATCGTGTAGTGGAGGGGGTGGCAGATGGCCACAAACCTGTCATAGGCCATCACACTCAGGAGGAAGACATCCATCACAGCAAAGAGTATGAAAAAATAAATCTGTGTGATGCAGTCCTCATAGGTTATGACTTTGTTCTGAGTCTGGATGTTCACCAGCATCTTTGGGATGGTGGTGGAGGTGAAGCAGATGTCTACAAAGGACAGGTTGGCCAGGAAGAAGTACATGGGTGTGTGGAGGCGGGAGTCAGAGCTGACGGCCAGGATGATGAGCAGGTTCCCAAACACAGTGATCAGGTACATGGAGAGGAAAAGCCCAAATATGAGGGGCTGCAGTTCTGGTTCTTCTGAAAATCCCATAAGAAGAAATTGTGAAGTTCCTGTATCATTTCCTGGGTCCATGTGGTGGAGGTGACTACCAGTAAAGGGGAAAATAACATGACAAAACTTCACATGGGCCTGGCCCACATTGTTCAAATGCTACCATGTATTTCCAGTCAATAAAATAATTTCAATACTTTGTGAATGGATCTGGGCCCCTTGAGGGGATCACCGTTTCCTCTCTGATTAGTAATTTTCATCCCAACATCAGTTTTTCCCCCAATGGCCAGGTATCATAGAGTTAATAAGAAATTATTTCATGCATTTGAGGAATATATGGAGTGTC